GGTAAACTCTCCATCGTTCTCGAGGGGTAGTCCGAAGAAAATTGGAAAAAGGAAAGGGTGGCGGGGGGGAGACGCAAGCGCGAGAAGCATATCTCACCGGCAAGCTTTCATGTTGTTCTGGATATGAGCAACCGACCGGCGCGTCCTTTGCCACTTCCACGTGCGGAATAGCTATCCCGTTGCCAAGCAGTGTGTGCGGTAACGGGGTAGCTATTTCATACGTGGAGTGGCGAAGGACGCGGCGGCGCGCCACACATATCCAGAAGAATATGAAACCTTGCTGGTGAGATATGCTTGTCGTGCTCTCGTCTCCCTCCCCCAGTTTCCTTTTTCGGTGTTTTTCTCAGACTATCCCCGAGAACGATGGAGTAGTTTGCCTAACAACACCCGCCAAGGAGAAGTAGTATAACGGGGGATATCTGCTCCAATATTTCCGTGCCTAGAATCCGATGCGATTCTGACTGCAGCAGCACCCGATCAAATCGACACACATCGCCGTCCCAGCTTTGCAACAATGCGATGCAAGGACACCCTACGAGCAAAGTTGACCACAAAAACATTTCTTGTTGGTCTATATATCCTTCGCGTGTTCACGTACCCGCAGCTGCTCTTGCTGCTGCTGCTGCTGCTGCTGCTGCTGCTGCTGCAGCCGCTCCTGCTGCTGCTGTGCCTGCAGACGCTGCTGCTGTGCCTGCTGCTGCTGCTGCGCCTGGCTCGCCTTCTGCGACACAACGACAGAATAACAGCAACCAAAAACACGTCATTCTGTTGTGTGCCCAAACGCCAACAGAAAACGCGCCAAGCAGACATCCGTGCCCACGGTTTGGTGGCACCAAGATCACCTCACTACAAGCTAACCCCATCTCCACCGCTACTCGTACGAGACTGGTGGATAACTAGAAACCACCACAACTTCTCCTCCTCCTCCTCCTCCTGCTTGGTTGGACACTTCCCACAGGTGACAGAACAGGGCGCCCGTAACATCACACTCTCCGCGAAACTAAGCACCGGCAGCAGTTACAGTAACCTAAATCCTCCGCCCAAAGAACAAGCTCCAGCGGTGCAACAGTGGTCCCTCTTGTGCAAGGGAGGCTGCATCGCACCCAACGGACTCCGCTGTGGCCTCTTCTACCATACCATGAAACCCTCACAGTACCGTTCCGAGTGTGAGACGACCTGAACAAGGTATCTGTGTCAACGCGATTTCACCGGCCCTACGCCGGGACCGATCTACTGCTGTATCCATGCTTCTCCGGGCCCGCGCTATTACTGTAGGTACGGCCAAGTGATATAAACTCTGGGCATGACCCACGTTCGGCATAGCCACCATCCAGGGTGCTGCTACTGCTGTGCTGCTGCTGCTGCAGTAGAGACATACATCATCAAAGTTTGGAGGGAACGAAGGGGACGAACGAAGGACCCTAACCCTTGCCCTAACACACTTCCCCGATTGCATGCTTCATCCAACACGTTTTACAAAAGAAAAATCTTGCAAAGGCTACTGGGAACGAAACACTCCATTCTCGACGTCTAAGACACCCACCTTCTTCTCATTCGACATCGACTCCTTCTCACCTCTGCCAGCAGTTGCTGTTGCTGGTTTTTCTGCTTCTGGAGCTGCTGCTGGCGTTGGGCCTCGCGCCTGCTCTCCTCCTCCTGATCCCATCGCGCAAAGAGATCAAACAAAAACAAACCGAAGCAAGGAAACAGAAGACGATCCAGCGGATTTAGACTCGTATCTTCTCCGTTTTAGGGGGTCTGCATGTCCTACGGATCCACATGAGGGGGACCGTAGCACCTTATGCGACCTACGTTGCCTCAAAAATTGTAAATATAGAGGTAGGCGCATGCATCACAAGGGCGCATGGCCCTGAGCACGAACAAAGACACAAGAAAAACAAAACATTGTCGCATCCCGTCCTATGCATATAGAAGTACAACATTCGAGGACATTTTCTTGTACAAAAACAAAGAGCACGCCAGGGAGCCTGTAACGCATATATCGCAAAAAAAAAAATGGCCAAATGAATGATCACAAGGAATCCTGCCTTCGAGAATGCCAAGCATGCTACACACATAATCAGAGAGGATGTCGCCCCATGGACGAAACAACTACGCAAATTACACACGCGCCTGGATCTCCATAAGGCCCTTCTTCGCCTCAGGCTGCTTGGTAGCCCCGCCCCAGGCGTTGCTGGGGGGAGGCGGGGGAGGGGCAGGGGCTGAGTTGTCTCCGTCCCCTCCCTGCTGCTGCTGCTGCTGCTGCTGCTGCTGCTGCTGAGCTTGCTGCTGCTGAGCTAGCTCCTGTTCAGCTTGCCGCTCGCGTAACTGCTGTTGAGCTTGCTGCTGGTGTTGCTGCTGCTGCAGCTGTTGACGTTGCTTTTCTGCCTCCTCGGAAGCAGAACGCTGCTGCTGCTGCTGCTGCTGCTGTTGCATCGCTCGAAGGTTGTTGCTGCTGCCGCTGTTGTTGGTGGCGGCAACTCCTTCCACCTGCGGTGATCCCCAAGCGTCCAGGATGTTTGCGGACGACCCCCTCCTCGGTCCAGACCCCTGGTTAGCCTCTTCCACCACCGTCGTCGACTTTGCCTGCGACACCCCAAAGGCATGGCAGCAGCGGTGTCAGCAGCGGTGGAAGCAGCATCAGCGACAAAGAACGAGAACCCTCCGCGGTCAGCAATCAATTGCTGGGCGCACACACACACACCATGCGTGCCGAACAGCGGTATACGCAGTCCCCCTTTCGAAATACGAACGTGCGAGGTGCGACAACAGCCACCATCTATCGTACACAGACCACTGTACACCACCACTCAGACCGAAGCAGCAACTCGCGGTGTCTCTGCTGCTGGGCCTGGAGCGGCGGTCAGCCGGTGAACTGTCGGCAACCAACCGTAGGTGGCCCCACAAAACATGACATCCTCTGGACCGACCGATCATCAAAGCTCAGCACGAAAACAAGTGGCGGCGCTGAACATGGCCGCGTTGGAACTGTCTCGTCGAGAGCTTGCCGCGAACGTATCGATCGGTTTGGACACTGAACACCCTTTATCGTCGTGGAGATGTCGTACTCCGTGCCCTGAAATCGGTCACAACGGGGTGTGGCATCTAACGTCACCTACGGTAGCAGCAGTTCCTCACCCAACCGCAGTCATGAGAGACGGCGCCGAAAAACGGGGGGGCCCTTTGGTGATGATGACACCAGAACTACCACACACTTTTCCCGAGATTTTTTGTTGCGTACCTGTTCACGTTCGCGCTGCTGCTGTAACTGCCGCGCCTGCTCTCGTTCGTGCAGAAGCATTTGTTGTTGCTGGTGCTGCTGTTGCCTCTGGAGAAGCATCTGCTGTTGCTGATCCTCCTGCTGCTGACGCTGCTGCTGCTGCTGCCTCAAGACCTGTTGCTTCTGCTGCTGGATGGCGGCTTCCTCAGACTCTTGTGACATCCGCCTCTGTTGCTGCTGCTGCCGCTGTTGCTGCTGCTGTTGCTGCCGGAAAGAGACATCGGACGGAAATCGCCACCAACAGAAGCTACTTAGCCACATCGATAGGTACTACGGAGTACAGTAGAGGTCACGGTTTAGTGCCGGTTGAATAGTGCCGGTGTTTTCGGCCCGTACACACTGGAATGCCAAGTCGTTCTGTACTTCGATTAGTGCCGTTGTCCGGTTTAGTGCCGGTGATATTTCGGGGCACACCCCAGCACTAAATAGGGACCTCTACTGTACTACTTTACTAACTTTCCAAAGAGGAAAGGTGGGGCAACATGCACACGAAGGAGCTCCTGTGTGACCTTCCTCGTGTGTGGCCCCGACTGCGACGTCAAACATGGACACCGATGGGTGTGTAGACTGGCGCCGGGACAAAAAGGGACTGACCAACACATGACCAAGTTTGCATCAAAACGTACGAGTCGACCACTCCCAACGCAAGGAACGACAACAACGAAGAAGGCTTCCTTCCCTAAACTAAGCACCTTGCCACGCAAAAAAACAAAAATAAAACCGCCCCGAGCCCCGAGCGAATCATTCACCCGCACCAGAACGATACATGTGGACCATGAACCCCATCCATTCATCGCATCACAATCCCCCCCCATTTCGTTCCAAAGCCGCTTATGCACAATAACCCTTGCCAGATCCCACCCCTTGTCTCGTTCCACAGAAAACCGTCCTTGCCACCCTCCTCACCGCGTCCTGGCGATGATAGCTGATGCTGTTGCTGTTGTCGTTGCCGTTGCCATTGCCATTGCCGCCCCGCGAGGCCTCCAAGAAGGCCGTCGTCGCCCCCTGCCCAGGAAAAAGCCTCTCCAAGGCTATGAACTCCCCCGTCACGCCGCGCCGCACGGGCAAATTGCGCTGACAGCAAACACATTGCACGCCAGCAAAGAAGGGAAGGGGGAGGGGGGGGGGACGGGAGCGTGGAGATGGGAGGGCAGAAGGGGGGGGGGTGCATCCGACCCCCGCGGAACCCCCCGCGGAACACTAACTCAAGCTGACGTGGACACCGGCACCCCGCATTGGAGGTAAAGACCACACCATGACTACACTCTGCAACCTCTCGTTCGCGGAGAAACAAATCAAACGTGGACCCGCTCCAATTCGATCCGATCCGATCCGATCTACCCAGTTTGAAAGTCGCCGTGAACTTTCATTCGTCATGAGGCCAGGCACAGATCACATCACTCCGACGAGCGTCTGTGGCGAGAAAGGCAACACTCTGGTACCCAAATACCAATATACCTTGGAACGAAGCAAATCGTACCCAAACGTCTGAGTCGACACCAACACACCAAATACTCCGAGCATATATCCAGACCAGACGAGAAGCACACCGTGCGCAAAACACCCTGTCAACAGATGGACCGCTAGCAGGCAGACAGAGGTAAGCGTAGCCTTCCTCGCGCGTGACCCAGGCTGGCGCGTCCCAAAACGTGTCAGCGGGAGGACAAGGCACACGCGACAACTATTTTTTCGTTTGATGGTTCAGTCCATTCAGTCTTGGTCACATGAACGTACAAGCATCAGTGAGAATAGAAGAAAGCACCTGGAAATAGCCTGCCTCGAACCATTGCCTCATCTCCGACCCGTCGAACGGCCCCTGGATGCGATTCTGCGGGTCTAGGTAGAACCACCCCGACCCCCCTTCTCCTCCGCCGGCCCCCCCGCGAGCCGCGTCCGCCGCCGCAGCCGCAGCCGCCGCAGCCGCCTCCCTAGCCTCGGCCGCTTCGCTTGCAGCAGCCTCCGCGGCCGCAGCCGCCTGCAGCTGCTGCTGCTGTTGCTGCTGCTGCAGCTGCATGCGGTGGAGCTGCTGGAGCTGCTGCTGGCGCTGCTGTTGCTGTTGCTGCAGCTGCAACTGTTGCTGCTGCAGCTGCTGGTGTTGGGCCGTCGATGACGATGACGAGCCACCCCCCGGCTGTTGCTGCTGCATCTCCGCGCGCACTGCCTCCGCCAGCTGCTGCTGCTCGAACAGCTGGAGCCTCCTCCTCTGCTGTGCCTGCTGCTGTAGCAGGAGCTGCTGCTGCTGCTGCGCCTGGTGCTGTTGGGCCTGATCGCGAGCGGCGGAGGAAGCCCGCAGCTCGCGCTCTCGTAGCTGCTCCCTCTGGGCCTGCTCGAGGGCAAGACGTTGGCGATCAGAACGCTCCTGAGACGCAACACACGAGAATGGGGAAGGGGGGTGGGGGGTGGGGGGGTGGGGGGGGCGGCGCGTACTCTCACGTTTCGCATGCTCTAGCGGTTAGACCATTGACCACCCGTCCTTTCAGAGGACGGGATTGGGAGGGCAAATAAACTTATCGTGAGCAAGACCCAAGCGACAAGAACAATAAATGGATTTTGCTCCCCGTGAAAAACTAAACACTATTCACAGTGTTTCTCCGAAAATACATTCGGGGTGGTGCCATCGTAACAGCAAAACCACCACTGGCGGCCGCCACCGCCGCTGCCGACCCGGTTGGAAATCGGCGCCAGCCATGCTAACACGACTTGACTATGCGTAGGGTGCATGCAGCAGCAGCGCCCACATCATCTATAGTTTGCAAATGTGCGATGCTGCAAACACAGGCGACATCAACTTCTATCACGATCTCACACGCTAAACTCAACAATCGGCCCACGTCATCAGCCATCCTCCCCCCCGATTCACCTGGAGAGCGGCTTCCTGCATCTGGGTCAGGTGTCTCGCCGCCTGCTGGGCCCGGCGCTGGAAGAAAGACATTGGCAGAAAACACACAACACACGAAAAAAAAAAAACAACGACCAACGACGACAGGGAAACCCGCGAGCTCAAGGGGGGCGCACTCCTATGTTTGCATGCCTTAGCGATTAGACCATTGACGACGCGTCCTCGAGAGGACAGAGCCTTGTTCCCACAGCACCGACCACCGATCGCCAATCGCTCCTTCGATATTTGCCAAAGGAGAAAGCAGGAGGGGGGAGGGGGGTCCATGTGTTGCCGGGTACAGCACATACGGCGGGCGCGGCACCTGCTGCTCGGCAAGCTGGTTGGCCTGCTGCTTCTGGAGCTGCTGCTGCTGAAGAAGGTGCGCCTGCTGCTGCGCCCGTTGCTGCTGCTGGTACAGCTCCCGGTGCTGCTGTTGCTGCTGCTGCTGCAGCGTGCGGAGCCGAGCCACCTCCGCCTCCCGCTGCAGGCGCTGCGGACGCGAGGGTGTGGGGGTAAGTGAATGAGGGGTTTTGGACGTTTTCTGACATTACGCAAACTCAAAGGCAAGCACCTCGTGGGGTAAGGTAGGCAAACAAAAAATGAAAAAAAAAAAAAAATACTGCATGAGCTTCCTCTTGGATGACCCCGGCTGATGCGCCAGCCATATACGCCGAAAGGCCTGTAAACCGGCGCCAGAATAGATGGGACGAACACACGACACAAAAAAATGAACCGGGGGATGGGTGCTTCCGTTTTTGTGGGTTTCTCTCGTTGCTCTTCTACTACCTCACCGGTAATTTCGTACTTTCCACGTCACGTGTGGGTTAAGAACGCCAGAGGAGTAGCAGCCCCCCCCCCCCCCCCCAAAAAAAAA